GTCGATAGGACGAAAAGTAATGCACCTTATGCAAATTTCTTATAGATAGATTCCTTATATGCGACACCCAATAGTTACCACATGTTATTACTGGACAAATTCAATTTGTGTTAGTTTTGAACTGAGGTACGTTGAAATGTTCCGCATGCACTCGAAATGGATTACAGAGGAGCAAATAGTGATACCCTTCTTTGAGCATGGACCACGATCTCGACGGAATAGAGAACAGGCCCCTCAACTTCTAATACATGGGTAGGGGCATGCGTTAACTATGAAACGACACATATCAACGGTCATATTAGTGACTAGCTGCCGCGACGGACGGGGGTAGCTGGACGCAACTTGGGCAATTGCGACTAACAACACTTTTAGGGACGCGAATGGTGTGAACAAGAACTATCCATTTTGGCCTTACCGATAGCTTATAGCGTGTGCGGAAGAGAGAAAAAAGATTGGGGTACGCTAAAGATGGTGAACAAGCATTGCGAGAGGTAAGTTTCAAGAACGAGATATGATAAGAAAGCTGCCAAACGCTGTTCAAGTTATCTTTCGGTACTTTTACTATTTGACAGCGCTAGATGAACGCATTTTCATGTTTGCATCCACTAAACAAGTATGCCACCGTAGAGGTATGCAAAATACAGAATTGTACACAAGCAATGCGATCGATCATAAGTAAGTCAATGTTCCAAACTAACAAAATGAATTATGAGTAACTGTGCTGTAATTGCTTGAATGACAAGGTTTATTCTAATGTGCCTTTTGTTATACGACCGTGTGTCCCTTAGGATATATTGATCTTCCTGTACCACATGGAGCATATGTAGAACAAAGCCAATTTACTGGATGGAGACGTATCCTTTTGCATAGATGCTCTGATTCGGCTAAAGCGAAGCCATATTATCATCCAGTCACGACTCTAACCGTTTGTTCCATTTACGACAAAGAAAATAATAACACTTCAAATATGTCTGTTCGCCATGACGACGAGACATTGTTCCTGTATCCGAAATAGTGGCAATAGATGTGCCGATTAAGTATCATTAAATTAAATAATCGTCCATATTTTTAATCTTAAAGAAGTTTATTAAAGTATTGATGTTCCATATTCAGAAATACGGGGCTTTCTATGCGTCATCTGTTTCTTCTATTCACCCGATTGGTCAGACGATTCTCATCTAAATTATGCGTGCACATACAGCAGCTTATCTGAACAGGCTTCTCCTCTGATCAACTTTTGTATGCTTAAAGGCCGGTTTTATGATTGCGTAGCTTAAATTATTAAACTCAGTTATTACCTTCACAATATTTTATAGAGGAACAAAGAAAAACGGGGGAGTGACTACAATCGGACGTGAACAAGAACAGGTTCTTTCTTTCCCTAAGTATAGGCCTGGCGAGCCTTGTTTCTCAATTCCTTTTTGCGTATTAGCCACTGTCATGATTTTCGCAGTTAAAAAAATAATGCTTCGATCAAAGGCGAGTTTATTCGTATTTTATTAAATTGGCTATGATACGTTAAGCGCGATAAGGTTTGATTCATCTACTAGCTAAACGGGAAATGTGCATTATATCGTGGGAGCAAAAGCTAAACATATAAATAAACAGAGCCATCCGAAAATTCCAGTCTGTTCATAGGTTATTAAACAGAAATATTTGCAGAAAAACAAACTGTGCGCCTAAATAATTTGTTAGTGCTAGCGAGGTTATATACGTGTGTATTTGCGCATGTATAGGCACATACATACTTTTTTAGCACCGTCCTATTTGAGCCGCATTTTAGATCTTGACCTTTCGTGGCACTCGCGTTTCCAAAGCATTAAAATGTTCTACGCGGAGTGCTTAAATCCGAATGACAACGGCCTTATGTTACCTTGGCTGAGCATGGAGTAATAACTTTATCAGTCAGCATGTTCATTCCAAGCTTTCTTAGCCGCACTGTTAAAGGGGATCTTCGATCAGAAAACAGCAGACTCACGAAATGACTTCAAGTATGCGAACCTCGCAGAGAAAGATTTTAAAAAAATGTAAAAATATTACAGACTTAATACATTCTTGGAAGTATATCGAATTCGGCCTTATGCCAACTCCGGAAGATCGACGACTGGTGACTGATTGTGTTGTGGCGACTCCATTTCAAATGCTTCAAAAATATATTTCTATAGAGTAGTGTAGTATTTTTTCCGTTTGATCATCTGCTGCTTGGTCCGGGCTGTAATAATATACTACGTATATCATGTACGGTGTTTAGGTGTTCCTGGTATTTGATAGCTTCTAATAACGAGATCATGTCATATTCGATTTAAATTTCGCGCCGTTATCTTCTAGGTATGGGAAGTATGATAAATTGCCATACACATATTTCCGCCAAATTTAAAGTCTGAATCAAGTGCCGGAGCTTCCTGTGACAAGAGAAATCCTGTATCTTACTAGGATGTACACTCAGGCCAGCTCATTTCCGTCCAGCCCTAACGTGTATGCTAACTGATGGTATCATCCGTCCTTACTAATCATATGTAAATATTAGATTCAACGCATATATATACACATGCATATATATGTATACTAACTTAATTAATAATAAGTATTAGAGACTTTGTTACTAAGATTTTACCATTTAAGGAGCAGAATATTGAGACCATACATTGCGGGCATATTCATTCAATATATGTATCGCAGCACAAATGGTAAGCTTTGTTAACAGAATCAAAGCATAAAGGTCTGTGGGATGTATAGCAGTTTCACTGTGTGATATCGTAGAAGCACATTTTCGTTACAAAAAAAAAAAAGCAGAACTAAGCACAAGTCCTTGTTTCAAATAAAAGTGACTATTGATCTTGTTTATCAATATGGAAAAAATAGAACGTATCAAGGTGTTCTGTTACCTCTAAGGGTTAGAGAAGGGTTAGAGTGAAGCAAACTTTTCTACCGGACTCATTTTTAGGGTCATCTGCACGGTGTCATAAGCAGTTGTGATGTCTATCTTCATCTAATCCCTAATTTATTGAGCGAATTTATGATTAAACCAAGCGACGGGACACTATCTTGCATGGGTTACGATGTCGAAACTATGACAAACGTTACTAAGTAAAATGAAATCAATCAAGTTCCCACGTCAATAGACATTTTGAATTTGGTGCGCAAAAGTGCAATGGCCTAACTTAAGCTTACGTTTATATAGCTCAGCACTCGGCCAAAGCGAATGGAACATTGCTTTATTACAATCATGGTATAGTCCTTTATATCCTGTGGATGGCTCTGTCATTGTGCAGTCCTGGCTTGTAGCCCTCTAAGCTCAAAGACTGAGCTTATGGTTTAGGTTCAATGACAAACGAAAACTTCGGAGCCGTCGTCTGAAGCAATACTTGATGGTAGTACCGAACGTAGAATCTGAGACATTTATATATAGTTTATGAATTTATCTCAAACAGCAATAGCACATTTGAAAGCATTATTAATGGTCATCTCTGCTACGATCAAGCGTAAAGGAACAAATAAATGAATTCACCTTTTTGTTCAAATCAACAATTTCAAAAAAAAGCGCGTTTTCTCGAGAAATTGAGTTATCTTTTCAAAGTGTTTCGGCGCAATCTGTCTCACCAAGCTGTGGGTGAAGGTTCAATATCCTAGTGTACGAGTCGACTACCAACAAGCAACACCACCTACAATGGTTAGTCAATTCAAAGCTAGAAGAGGTTCAATAATGTGAACTGCTATTGCCGTCTGTCGTAAAGAAACTCCGGTGGCATCGACACCACCACAAATTGGCAGGCCATTAACGCAATAGCAACAGCAGTAGTCTCAGTGTGAGCTGTTACCTGTCTCTTAAAGCCTAATGACCGCCAAAGCAAATTAAATCGTTGTCCGTATCGTCAATCTATGATATCTCCGTTCTTCCAACGAAGATGACGATCCTGCCGTAGTTCCTAGCTATGAGTTTATTCCTTTTACTCGGGCTGTTTTTAATTAAACAAAAACCAGGATTGCTTTTTGATGCTTTAATTGTATAAAATGGACGAAAATCCACTAGAGCAGTGTCATATCAAATTGGAACTTTCTAACTTAGCCGTGTTGCGTGACTGCCATAACATGTAGGTGATCTTTTAATGGACTGATAGCAAGGGACAAGTCCAGTGAGCATTGTTCTTTACACTCAACTGAAGTTAGTATTGTGTTTGTAGTACGCAACATATGTATATGCATTTAACATACTGCTAGGTTGTAGTATTTATATAACATATAATAATAACCTTCTCTTTTTCTATATGAGGATGTTGGTACGCTCCAATTTTTAAATAACCGCCGTATTTTAAATAATATATATTAACGATAATGATAGGCGTACATTTCGACGTTGGGAAGCATTTTGTGGAACGTATGTTGTTTGTTGCTAAATCGATAATCGATCAGTGAGAGCCATAAAATAATAAAAGCCTCCTTAGTCAACAAAATCTCCAAATTGTGACCCTTGTCACCCCGTAGTAGAACATTGCGATAGACGTTCGTTGACGTCTGATTCAACTGTAATAGCTAAGGCGTTTGTGAGAAAACCTCAGCACTCAGATAACCTCCGAATCACTTTCGTGATAGGTTCATTAGACAAACACACATTTGCCACCCTTTGCCGAGAAAGTGAATTTATCATTAGTTTCAATTTCCTGTCTGATAGCCAGTATACGCGTTGAATTCAGACAGTGAACAGCTTTGTAAATTAAAGTATGTCCGATGAGATTCTATACCATCTTTATTTTTTATTTAACAACTTCTAAAAAGCTATAGTGCGAATATTCTGCATGCGGTAGACACGTTAAATTCAGTCATACAGGGCGAGAGAACCCAAACGATCGCTCATTGTAGAACGATATCGCCGTTGATAGTTGGGCTATTTTTTTATCCATCAGACATATTTCCATAAAATGTGTCATTTCGGAGCTGTTGTTAGTGGTACGGACAGATAGAATATGTCGATTAATTGATGACATTGTCAATGTTACACTTACCTCTCCTGGGCGGGCTGAGCGTCGGCAAGTAGGAGCGATACTGCGGCCAGAGCCAAAAGGAAGACGGCCCAACCGAGGGGGGCCCGACGCGCAACCATCCTCGGGAGCTCCTCGAATACGGCGACGGCGCCAAAAGGCTAGATTCACAGTCGATAGTGAAGAAGCACGAATGTGCGCGGCTCACGCCTCGTGGCTACCTTGTGTATATGTCAGTCAGTACAAGGGGGAAAGGGGTACTGAACGCCGACTAATGACGAACGTACGCAGCGTAGTAACAAATAATCAGAGAACAACCAATCTTCTGTCTGTTGGTTGTAAAGAAAAAAAATAGATGAGTAAATAGAATTACACGGTGCACGGACCACAGGGTTCAACTCTGATCTCGGACGAACGCAGGGCACGCCGCGGCAACTACTTTATACCCCTCATATGACGTCATCGTGATGCCCTCTCCACGTACTCTCTAGGCCCGCCCATGAAGGGGGAAGCGGCGGCCATAGAGTTACTTTGGACAAAGAGGAGACGTGAACGATATCCTTCGGTGGCGCCTAAGAAAATATGATAGACTGTTCACCATTTCGAACATATGAAGGCTAAACGATCACGGCCAGGTTAAGCCGAACAAGACGTGGATGGCGTGGAATCCGTCTAAGTGGAACGCGTCTACAACCAGCGACGCGTCTATATCTAACCCTAACCGTATTAAAAGGCTACAATATTCTAAGCCACAGCTTCGAACACAATTATGTTGTACATGGTACGTCTTTCCTCTTTTTGACCTAGATCATAGCCACCTGCCGGCCCATAACCAATCGGACTAACGATAATGTTTATCGAAGGAGGAACTATGTACTGTATATCAGTAAAGCTATTGTTCCACTTCATAGACGCTTCAACACAATCTTCGGCACTGTAAAAATCTGTAATAAAAATGGGTTGTGAAGTTGTACTATTTTATTTTATATTTCAGTTTAAATTCGTGTTGCTTTTTACGCAGAAATCCACACACGTATGCATCAATACGTCCTTAGTCACTTGTGTGGTTGCTATTTGTACCGTAGTTTCAGGTACGCTGTATGACTATTCATCATTCTTACAAATGTTTAAATAAATTTAGACATTAATGCGAAAGCTCTCGCAGGAATGTAGCACTTTCAACTATCTTTTTCAGCGTTATAATGGGAAAAGAAAGAAATTCTCAGAGGTCAAACAAATAATGAAATACCTACGTACGTAGTCCTTATTATAAGCTAAGTCGTTTTAAGAGTAAAAGCCAACATATAAAGGCGAATTAGAGCAAGCTGACTGTGCTTCACTTACTCACAAGCCAAACATTGAGGTAGCAATTGAATGGTGGATGTCCTGAGGTCGTGTATTTCAACTGTAGAAAAATATACTCTAAGATTTTTCTGCCATCGCCACAAGATATCTAATTCACCATATTACTTCATAACAGAAAGAACTCAGAGAGTCGACATCACCGGCTAAGGCGCATCAACTTTGGTGCTTCTTAGGACGATCCTTTCAGTCCCTTGCACTTTTTCTTATCCACTACTGACACCACGCAATGTCCCGTTAAAAATTTGCGATCTTAGTATATCTATTAATTATAATACTCGTAGTGGTGCTTTAATTTGCTCTTAAATGCGTCGTGCTCCCATAGTATAGGAGATTGTTGCTTTCGTGCTACGATCTTATTCGATTCTCTGCCTATTAAAACCCGTATTAAACCAAAAAATGTGTCCTCAGCATATTCAAGTCCACCCTCAAAGTGTATGTTCCAAAGAAACTGTAATTACTGATGAACATAAGGACAAATTAAGACGTTATAGGACATTGGGGTCAAACTTATATATTAGTTCTCTAACGGTTCCCAGTTTTTGTCATTGAATGAAGCAGGTGACGGAAAAACAGCACTGATACCTGTTGCAAAGGGATTGTAGTTCGCTATAAAACAGCTTTATTCGTCACTATTGTCATGGAAGAGCCATGCTTGATTCATCTGCCTTATAATTAGTGTTATATTTTGATATTCAATGCTAGAGGCCATCTGGGTCAATTTCACTACAATTACAGGCATGTGCCTTTGAAGCGAGGAAGACCTTGAGCGGTTGTATAACGGGCATGCGTTCATGCGCATTCAGCGTACCAAATGAAAGTCACTTTATTACAAAATAATTTATTTGTCAAAGTAAACGTTTTTGTATTCTGAGCAAAGATCAGTTATTATCCAATCTTTCGGCACTGGATGGACTCCCTATTAAGATTAAAAACTGCTTTTTTGCCCCCAATATGACGGTGTCAAATTTCCATTCTATTTCTGAATGATCTGAGAAAGACCTCTACGAAGTAAACTAAAAACTCCTTAATAAAATTTTGATTTAAGGGGCTCGAAAGCTCACCACAACGGTTGAAAAATCATTTTCGATACACACACATTTTTCATACAGACATGACTGACATTTTAAAGAAGTGGCTATTATTTGCTGATCGGGCGTCTAAACAAGCATAAATGGTTAGTCTTTGCGTCCTTAGAACTTTTAGCCTACTACGATCCTAAATTTCATACGGTGAAAATATTTTGTATACGTAGTATTTGAGCGATACTATTGCTTAATGCAAGATTATTATTAGAAACTTACTTGTGGATTAAAGAAAATAGCTTGAAAATGACAAGTTAACGACATAGGCCCTGAATCGAAGCTGTAATCATAGTGGATAGTGCTTGTGTCGAATAAACATACGAAAATTTTTGCTGTGGGGAAAAATGTTTTCCTTGGTTTTTGAAAAGAACGCATAATAAAAATCAATCTTAACTTAAACGCGTCCTTTGGTACTGTTCCTGAAGCTAACGAAAAGTAATTCTGCACTATTATACATGGTTGTCTTTGATTATTCTCTCTGGATATAGGATGTTGCAGTAACTTCACAAAATTCTGTGCCATGCTTCTGTAGTATTACCTTTTTCACATAGACGTATTAATCCATATGTGTTGTGTAACTTGTCATATAACTTTAAAGACTATTTTGTACACAAAGTAACTCTAATATCTAAAGTGCAGAAAAATTGCAAATTTGTTACGTTGAAAATAATTGTTACTATTATTAAATGTATCAAGGCGTTAGTGTCTGTTAGCTAGAAGCGGTTTTCGTCGTCAACAGTAGAACTTATTTAAGGTTCATTAGGTAACATACCTGTGTATACATATGATAAAAACTTGAAAACTTTGGTTAATTGCTAATTACATAATGTATCCAGACGTAACGCGCCGAGAATCATTCCATGTATTGCTAGTCAATCATATTGCTTCTTGAGATACTCCATGGAGTGTTTGCACCTGCATAAGCTGCATACGAACCTGTTCCTTTTTATGAAGGTGTATACCTTTAAAACATCCGTAGGAAATGCTGACATCTACACGATCAAACGTACGAGGTGTTACATACTCGGATATCTTCATATAAGGGTTACCTTGAGTACGGAGAAATGGGGTCTCGTCCTTGCGTACATTAAAAACAGCTTGTCTGTGGTCGCGGCGATTACTAATACCCAATAACTGTTATTTCATGGTAGCGCTCACCTGAAATACGTAAACGGATCAGTGCAGTCGAGTATAGTCAATGTGCAAAGAATCAAATGCCGCTACGAACTTACCTCTGCGTGATGCCACCACTTCCGTTTCGTGTATCCATACCATGTTCGAAAAACCGGTTTGCAGAATAACAGGCCTACCCTAAGTGAAAGCGACTTAACTTAAACAATACAAAATCATCTGCATAGGAGACAACATGTACCTGAAGGTAGCATTTTCTAATTGTCTCTGGCAGGTTATTAGGCAGGACAAACAAGAACAGTGAGCTCATATCACCGCTTTGCCCAACCCCAGTCACTTGCCCAACGGCTTCGAGTTTTGTAGGTCTATTGGATATGGCCACTTAATTCTCTGGCCGTATGTCCTTAAGCAAAAGGATGGCTGTAGAGTGTTGAGGATCAAGACCACGCTATGTCTATCCTATTCACCACCGACAGTTTATGAGTCCGAAAAGCTGATGCACAAGTAGTAGAGTCAGCAACGTATCCTACCAGCTTTTCTTTGGTTTGTTACAGCAAACCAGGTTTGTTTGTTTGTTTTATCCAACTGTATTTGTTGTGTAGTATATGCTATGCTATACGGGATAAACAACATATAGGAGTAACCTAAGATTTCAGCTCGGACTTCGCACATTAGTGTAACTATGGGCTCTGTTAGGGCGTTTGACCGCTCACATCGATTAGAGCATCAAATCATTTATATGTAATGATTTACTTGAATACTTCATCAGAACTCAAAAGTGTCGTGAAGACCCCGCTTGAGTGAATAGTAATATTTTAATGAACTGCCTATATTAAAAAAAAGGCATTTGGAATAACATGAGTATAACTTGTCTTTTACGACCATAGACACCGGATCCTCTTATTATTTTTCACTGGCTATTTCTTTCTCGCCAAATGTTGCTTGCTGCCTCATTTATAAATATTTTCAAAGGCTAAAACATTCATATTCAAAGCTCGCAAAAATTGTAATTGTAGCATGAAAACAAAAAATCGTATTTCGGCCATTCTCTGACATCCAGAGCAAAAAAACATTGGCAAGATACTACAAAATCGGCCGGGTCGGCCTGGCTAGTGTACAAGTTAAAAACGGTATACGCACATCTATAAATTTGGTTTTTTAAGGTTTGCAGCGTGTGTTTTTGGGTTTTGGTGATCACCGAATTCGGAGCCCTACCACTGCCTATTTTTAGGTTAGGCCTTTGGAAAATTTCTCTGCTCCCTCGTTAGAAGATTACGAGTAGCGAGACAAAGTAGTATTGATCCACAGACAAGGTAGCCTATCTTTTCGTTGAAGAAATTAAATGTGTGTAATTATACAATTCTAATTACATTGTACGTTTCGAGCACATTTTAAGCTTACTATAGTAACCAGAAGTTGTCGATAACTACAAAACGAGAAAAAGCACCTTCAAGACGTTACTTCGTAATAGCACATACCCCAGATTAGATACTCCATGATATTGTGGCCAAAATTCCATTATATCGCGTTCAATAAACGTTATGTACTTTAACGCTTCTAAAATAACCCACAGTTGGGTTTTGTTTTATTGATTATTTAAAGCTTTACGGATAAGCCACTTTGCTTTACCTCACTGTTCGCTTTTGCCTTTGTATACCTTTCACAAGGCAGAAAACACAAAATGGCGACATGGAAATTTTCTGCCCAAACATTTCTGCTATTCGATAGGGATACGGCGACCTGCAGGAGAGGAACCGAGTTGCAGAAGGAAAGTAATTATTTTAGAAGTACTAAGTGGTCAGTTACTCCATATTGTAGCTAATCCTATTGAAGCAAAAAAAAGTACCTGCCCTAAAATTAAAGATAACTTAAATTATAGTTGGGTAACCCTTGGTTTAATGGTTGAAGGATGGTTGGCGAAATGCACGCGTAAAGAAGACGTCAATAAAAGTGCTTTCGGTACGAACCACCATTTATTCGTTTTTGACGCTTTTGTGTGCAGTCTGCTTAAAAAATTTCAGAGAAACGACCAAGTGGAAGCCCCGGAACTGACATTGTGAGGCAGCAGATCGTATTGATAAGGCACCTTTCCTATTTAGTACAAAACAATACATGTCAGCTAGCGAGTGTGAGGTCTATCGAGCATTTATCCTAATGGTGGAAAGCGATAGTTTTTTTTTACTCTGAATATAGGAACAAGCTGAAATTCTAGTCACTAGAGCTTACGTGAAAAATTTAGTACCGATCACATCCTGTAGCGTAAAAGTTTGCAAGGCAAATGCTACAATCTGGTGACAGTAATATATGTGCTTTTTGTCAACACAAATATTTATTTTAACGTTTGCATCAAACGATTGTCCTAAAAATTGCAAACCTCAGCCTAATAAACAGTTAATACTGGACTGGAGAAATAAAATTGACTTCCACGTCCGATTCTCCTTTTTCAACTATAAATATAGGGAGACGTTCGTCTTGTCGTTAAAAAAAACAACAGATTCGATTTGCCAAGGATTAGCATGCTCTAGATAAACGATAGAATTCTGCCACAACTGTGGCACAAGCGTGGTGACGTAAACCGGTTGCTGAGTCATTGATTTTTTGAAAGGTTAAATAGAGGCCACACCCCCATTTAACCGGGTCGAAATAAGAGGAGAGTTTAGGCGCCTGTTATGCGGGCCCATGCGAACCACGATGGGTGTCTACGGAAAATAAAGAGCCCGATGCTGAACTTGGCCTTATCGAGTCGTGCCATAAAAAAACCCTTAACTCTAGATCTCCATAAAATGCTAAACCCACGCAGATAGCCTCCATCCCTCATGAAGCTTTAAGAACTGAGTGTATATTAGTCTAGCCTGTGTTCATATCAGAGCACTTTCTCTATGTTCGCGCACTAAAAGTACTGCGCACTGAATAGCTAACTTATAGGTTAGAATGGGAACAGAAATCAGTGTCATAAGTAGGTAGACATTATCTTTTAAGAGAAAAAGTAGGAATGAATGAGTAGGCCTACGAAGAAAGTCGTGAAATATATCCGCAGGCAGCCGACCTGAACGTGTGTCCTGTCAAAAAGATACACTAGACCAGCACTCTTATCGTGAAGCTGGTAAATCGACTTTATTTGTATTACGTAATCCCATTTCGGTCAGCAGGGTACATAAGACAGCCGTGTATTGGATGTGTTAATAATGATCTGAAAGATTTTGAAGTTACGTTTTTCGGTGATATTATTGTAGTCGCGCTTTATTGCTATTTGAAACAAGACGTTCTTCGACAATACTGTAGAATACAGGTCGTTCCGAATATATATTCTAACATTATAGACTACTTCCTTGTAATAAACAGGCTTCGTATAGATTTAGACAATTTTTATTAGAATTTCAGGGGTTGATTCGTTGAATACACTATTGCTAAGTGATGAGCAACTATAATATTGAGTTTTAACGTAAGGAATCACGGTTTTTCTCCGAAAAAAACATGCAGCATATCATTAGTATTCTAGTAACAATTTAACTGATCAAGTATCCGCCGTTACGCCCTTATTATCTCTTAGCTAATTTATCATTAATATTTTATAATTTCTATATCCGTTCTCGTAAACTATGCTCAGTTCAGGTGTTGAAGACTTTGTCCAGCTATTTTTTTGAAACTCTCCTCATTGTCATATGTATCGTTCCGGTTCTCATTCGCCAATGACCACATGTGGTTTGCGGTCGGTCAATACGATGTTTGGAAAACATGATAGATGCAATAAAGTTTTCTACTCAAGCTTTTACGGGGCGACTTTGCCTGTTACATGTGTGGCCTGACATTGTCATTGGGGAAGAATGATCCCCCTTTACCTACGAGGTTTTGTTTTTCCCTTGGGTAACGTTGTGCGTTTCGTGCGACTGACCAGCATGCAGATCCCTGTCAACTGTTCTCTTTTTTCATAATGAATAAAATGTATCCAGCCCCATTAAATGCGTATCATGGTTAGAATAGAACCTGGTTTAACTCTAAACTTAGCCATATCTGCTAAAGCTATTCATTTGTTTGCTTTGTATTGTAGTATAGATACCTCTTCTCATTATCCACAATGATTTATATTAAAAATTTGTTGTCATGGCTTTGTGTTGTTCGGTACCGAGCGAAATATTGAGAGAAAAAGAGGAGCTGGGTTTTCTTTTGCTTTTCAACAAATCTATGGGGTACCAGGCTCCTAATTTTTGAATGCATACCTTAAATTCGAAGTAGCCACCTACACGCATATAAAGGGAATTGATCTTATCGGCCGATTTACGAACTGTTTGCCAGTCATCTTCCTCAGAATTGCCTTCAAGTAGTCTTCATAGATCTAAGATGGCCGACCGAGGCGGCATGTATCCTCCAGTTCCAAAATGTTATAATTGAACTTCGCGTATCTTACGCAGATAATATCTAAAGACCGTATGCTAAAAAACATTGGAGAGTATTGAACGTAGGTTCGTAAAACGTGAGTCCAGCTGATGCGGGGTTGAACATGATAACATACATTTGACCCTCAATGTAAACCCATACAACAGCCTGGAAACGAAATAATACAAAAATATTTTTGAATCGCGTAAGGGGTTAACAATATTAGAAGGAAACAATTAATAGAGCCAGGAAGCAGAAAATAAATAACAATCCTTATCTATCGATCTAAAAATTACTTGGTGTCACTAAGATATTTGGCAATGACAATGCATTAATTGATATACTTTTTTCTTATCTGATCCAAAATCTATCCAGAGTACGGGCTTCTTTGTTAGTTTGTACATCGAATCGAGTGAGATAAGCTCATCGAGCCGCAAAAGGCTTCTCAAGCTAAATGAAAATTCATCCAACATGTCACAGGCTAAGTTGTCAAACTTGGCATAGCCATACATGTCGGCAGCAGCAGCAGCAGCAGCAGCAGCAGCATGTTAGCACAGGCCTATCAGTGTCTGTTGTCCTATGATACGAAAATGGATAGCCGGCAGTGAGCGTAGAGAGCCCGCTTAATAAGAAACCTAATGCCCCGTGGCAGTCAAAACGAGGAAGATAGATACGCTGAAATCGAAATTTTTAGATTTGGTACGTGCAATGACCACGTTACCTTTCAGAGTGGTACCGATTTATGCTGTAAATGTCGCTGATACCAGTGGGTTTTTCGAAACTGAATACTTTGAATTAAAGAGCTTTGCTGCCATGAGACTTAGACAAAAGCCTAATTTCATGTGATATAAGACCCTAACTATGGTTGCGATGAAATTGCTAAGCTTGGCTTAAACAATTTATTTAGGTTTTCGAAGCACAAAACATAGGTATTTTACTATTGCGGAAATCAATTTCGAAACGACCTTTTGTGTCAGACGCGGATGAGCTAGTTGGAAACTTCACAAAAGCCTACGATGCAAACGTATCCTATCAGCTTCACAATGACCAGGTAATAGGTGTAACGAACAACTTGAAACTGGTAAACGAGGGTGTTCGGGTTATTTTTTATCTAACTTTGTTCAACTAATTCGGGGTTGTTTTTTGTTATTATTTAAAAACTTATAAACTGCCTTTGTAAGGCGAAGCGTCCGGAGGGCATACAAGCCATCGCACGCTGAAAGAGCTTGCTACCAGCGAGAAACTAACACCGTTTGATGGATCCAAAATCAAGACCATAGAAGTATTCGTTTCTCTTGTTAATAGAAACGGAACTACAGCTCGGGTTCTGATCTATCTAGGATCGGAAGGAAATATTTTAGCAACGTCGTGACAGTGTCAATTCGGATCGTCACGCCAGTGTTTAGGGAAAAAGTCCTTCAGAGCTTTGATCGGCTTATTTTTTTATTTCTCTGTTATATAGTTATACCACTAGAACGCTTTTGGTTTTTCCAAAAAGCGAAAAAAATTGCAGCTTCATATAAACCAAATACAGTATATATTCCGTGTGTTACGTTCACACAATACGGTACGGAAAATATAGAGCAAAGCACAGTCAATAAAGAAAACGATTGGTAATGAAAACCATAAGCCGAACCCGCCGGCTCATGTTTTGCGGTCAGTAGCTTCATGTAATGTTGCTTTAGGCCGTTATTTCTTACCCAATTATGGCGACGAGAATACGCGTGTGATACATCGTCTGTGTTGAAACATTTGCGCATAGTAAGTTTTCTCCAGACGAACATAATGCTGTCTGCAAAATTGATGGAGATGTACTTTCATTTTGTATGTAGATTTTCATAGGATTCATTAATGATCATTCCAGGATAAACACATAGTAATGATAATAATATGCGTAATTGAACTCTATCAGGGAAGGTATAGAATATCTCCAGTTCTGCCCTTGCCTGTTAAATGTCCGCCAGCTTTACCTCTTTCGGATAGTTAGGTTAGGTAATTGGCCACTAGTGAAATAGCAATTAATTCAGCTATAACATTACCTAAGGGGACCTTTTCGAATATCAACGAACGAGAAAGGTAGCCGTTGGCTAGCCGGCATCGTAGCAATAGAACAAGGAGTTGGCCTAATCAACATTATACGCGTGTAGACGAGACGATAGGACTCACTGAGGGAGGAGATGTGTCACGAACTCAATTAGTCTCGTAGCGTTGTCACGGTACGATTTGCACACCAACTGCTTAACCCTCGCCCACCCGCCCCCTGTTTAGGGCATCCAATCGTACTTAAACGCGGAAACTGCACGTCCCAATGAACTATTTGCTACACGACAAGGCATTCCCACACTTTGGTCAAGGTGAGGAAAAAACTAAGATCACTTTTTCTGGGGGGTGGCAACGCCAGATATGTGGTGATGTACGTGTTTATTCGTTGATATATCCGCAAATATCTCACCTTTGTGTTAGCTTTAGACGCTTGTTACCGACCTTTTTGATATAATTTAGAACATCGAGCGGAAGTAGTCATAGGACGTGTTAGTTTCTTAGGTAGAAATCCAGCGGTTCATTCCGCCACTGAGGTCTACTGCGTGTTTCATCCTGTACTAAGCTAAATTGTAGATGATAGCTCAGTATTTTCAGCTCAGCATGATATTAGAACATCGGCATTATGTGTAAGGCCGCTAGAACCATATAGTAAGCATATTCCTTCTCAACCTTGATTTGTATGATCTTCGAGCGGACGTTCTTCACGGAATCGTACCTGTAAACTAATATAAAACAACAACATATAATATTGTAGTATTATTAAAGTACGTGCAAAATGCAAATGACAAACGTGACGTTTTTCGTGCGCATGGAGCGAAAAAAACTGTCGAAGAAGCGTTTAACAGATAAGTGCTGTGCTTCACCCGTGTGCGCATTAATACACCAGCATCACACATGCTTCTGAAGATAGTGACTTGAAAAGCATTCAAGTGCAGGCTGGGAATCAAACTCAGAATCTATTTCGTGCTAGAGAAACACTTTCCCCGTCGCCACACCACGCTTTTCTAGTGTAAAAGTGAGTATCCTAACGCATCTGGTCTTTCAGTTGTTTTGTATGACTTGATGCGCTTGCATAAAGTACTCGAGGGAAGGAAATCCTGATTTCGATGGATTGATCTACCTTGCGAGTCGTTCTCGAAAAATATGGTCATTTATCTGTTTCATATAATCACCGCAGAAATTATATAAACTTCGAGTCGACCTTTAAAACTTGGCTGTTTCTCTACAGTGACGTTGTTTAAGAAAAGCAATTGATCAAAGAAAGTACATCGTACGATTGGCAGTCTGTAGAAGTTTAGAGAACTAGAACTTACCATCGCAGCCTATTGGACACGCAGACTAGAAGTTGATTCTGCGTTTAGTTCATAGACTTTTCTGCGTTTTTCGAGTCCAAATACCCAGAAACGTCGTCATTTAACCATTAGGTAGATCGGATTCACTCGTTGCCGCCGACAGTAGTAGTCCATCGCTGGCCCGCTAATTTTAACACGCTTGAACTGGTATCAATAATGATCACACGCTTGATTTAGATTATTTTGTAACACATGGTGATAAAGTTCTTATAAATAATTATCTGTGACCACTAAGTAAAAGTGCATAAAGTGACGAAGACGATGAAATTCAATACAACGAATTCAAACGTCTGCTCAAGTATTTGGCGATGAGCAAAATGTTCACAAAATGGTCCTTCGTTTCGAAAAACTGCCACACCTTCGCAAGACATGAAACACCAGGCCATTTTACACTGCGTCATTGTCTGTGATGATTAGAATCGATTGAGTAAAATCCTAATCATTTGTTGTAGCTTTAGATTTTAAACTCGAATTTAGGTTTGCATGACAAGTTGGCCAAACCCCATGATTAACTGCCTTCAGCGATGTTTAAAAGGATCGAGCCTATCTTCGTTCAATGGCGTATAGCGCTTCGTTCACCTCTGTTTGTAGATCAACGATCATTAAAATAACATCAGACAGCGTATTCGTTGATAACTATATA